TTTGAATACATAGTTTTTTTTCATACTATATATTATTGTTTGTGACCATAAAACTTCAAGAAAAAATAAATAACAGCACCAGAAAATCTAGCCGTTAGTTTTAATCCTTCTGCACTGAAGCCTAAAAATATGAAAAATACAAGTTGTGAAAGTTTCTGAGTGTCCAGTGGATTGGAATGTCTAGGACAAAATAAGTCACGTGCTCTGCCCAAAGTCTCAAGGCAATCCAGTTGAATCCCAGTTTAAGAAGTCTTTGTTACGGAGCCAAATGTGTTCATCTTGAAAAGGATTCAGTCTAGAATCTATGAATGGGGACAAGTCCCTGACTTCTGGGCAACATTTCAAAAAGCCTACTGGAAATCATAAATTAACTCATAATAAAACTGCTCTGGTTAAAACATCACAGCTCTTTGCTTTTAGAGGGAATTACAGGAACTCAGTTCAATATTAACAATGGTTTGGAAGCCAAAACCTCTTAATGTCAGTTACACTTCTTTTTGTTCTTTTAAGACTCAGTGGAGGTGAAAGAAAATTTTATTTTTTATCAGTAAAAAAAACCAATTACCATTTCACAAATAAAATATTTTATTTATTTATGTTGAGGCAAGTCTCACTGTTGCCCAGGCTGGGGTGCAGTGGTGCAATCATGGCTCACTGTAGACTCAATCTCTCGGGGTTAAGCAATCCTCCCACATCAGCCCTCCCAAGTAGATGGAATTACCACATGCCACCATGTCCACCTAATTTTTATAGTTTTTGTAGAGACGGGGTTTCGGCATGTTGCCTAGGCTGGTCTCAAACTCCTGGGCTCAAGTGATCTGTCCATGTTGGCCTCCCGAAGTGCTGGGATTACAGGTGTGAGCCACTATGCCAGGCCAAAATATTTAACAGTAAAATATTTTAAAGGAAGAATTAGAAAAATATTAGCATTAGAAAAAATAATGAAAATCTTTTGAGGTGTTTAGGGGGAGAAAGCTCCAAGGAACTTAAAAACAAGTGATAGCATCTCAGTAACAGTCCATTTATTCAGCCCATACTGTGTGCTTTACCTAAGTGTTCACATTGAATCTCTACCACCGAATAAAGGTACATAACATACCCTGGCTTTACAGATGAGGAAACTGAGCTCAAAGAGTTCAGTCTGTCCAAGGCTGCCAAGCTGGTAAGTGACATGGCCAGGAGATTAACTCCAAAGCTCCACTGCCAGGCAGATAACAGAACATTTCCTGTTTTCATTCCTTAACATTGGGAGCAAAGTGTAGTCCTGCAAGCTTCCTGTTGTTGGGCATTTTCTGGTAAATCTTAACGGGAATGACTCCAGGTGAAGGTTCAAGCCTACCTAAAATGAAAGTTAGAATACAGCAAGATTATCTTGCAATTTTCTTTACTAGGTTAAACTGGGCTTGAATGATGAGACAATAATGACTTGATCACTGTGGCACAACTAATGGAAAGTTGGCTCCTGGCATGGACCTCTAACAACAGAAAGAAAGGCAGGATCACATCACCATGAACTCGTTTGGAATTAGGTAAAGTAGATAAACCAACGTCTGGATATTTATTTACTGAACATGATGACAACGACCCAGCCTAGCAACCATCAAAGCCCTTTGGCTCTCAGGGGTAAAGCAAATTAAAAGGGATTTTTTCAAAGGCAGATTATAGGGAAAAAGTGGTTAACATCTTTGGTGGACTATTTCATAACATGAGACTTGAGCTTCATTAAAAGGAAGGAACCAAATTCAAAGTAGGTAGATGTCTGCATGCAAAGTGCCTCGGTTCTCAGCAGTCAAAGCAGTTTAAAGTTGTCATTTTAGTTAACAGTGAAATCCATCCAGTAATGAGCAAGTCAGCTACAGTGCTATTCTAAGCACAAATCTTTTTTACTTGCAGAAAGGCATCAGTTATTTCAATGCTACAATGTGTAATTAAAAAGTGAATGTGTTATTTTGTTTACCCTTACATTATTGTATTACTGCAAGAATAAAAGTTCTGATTTTAACTAAGCTACAATTCAATGTTGAATACAACAAAGTCTACCTTGACCTAAGCTGCCTCTATTTCTGACATGGTCACAGTCTAGGAATCAAGCAGCAAGTCTGTCGGAGGCACTGGAACCAGAGCAATTCCACCTTGAATAGATGCTGAGTAAAATGAGACAGAGACCTGCTGGCTGCATTCTTAATAGTCACAAGATGTTTAAGATTAAGGGAACAGATTAATCATGCTTAATAAACAAACCCAGGACTTAACAGACCCAGGAAACGTTTTGATGTCCCACTATCTGTTAGTCCAAACTGCACTGTTTCCTAAGCCCCCTGGGCCATTTCGCAGACCCAGGTCAAAGTGAAACATTCCAGGGAGGTTTGGGTCAGGAGAAATACCCTGCCCAACTCCCTTTTCTTATCATACACAGCTGGGCCAAGGCCCAGTTGAAAGAACGTCCCTATCAAACCCTGCTGGGCAAAAGTCCAAGAAACATAACTATCACATTCTGTGGGAACAAGGGCAAAACTGCCTGATCATAGTAAATTTTATCAACATACTGCAGGCAGCAAGCCATACTGCCCATTCCTCTCCGCGCTATAAGTACCCCAGCCTGTAAGCAGCAGTGGGCTCTGCCATTAAGCTGATCTCCCATCTCCATAGGTTTTTGCAACATACCTGTGTTGCTGTTGAGCTGCCCTGTGTGTCATTCTTTTTTTTTTTGGGGGGGGGGGTCTCACTTTATTGCCCAGCTAGTGTGCAATGGTGCCATCCTGGCTCACTGCACCCCAGCCTCGCGGGTTCAAGTGATTCTCCTGCCTCAGCCTCCCATGTAGCTGGGACTGCAGACATGTGCCACCACACCCGGCTAATTTTTGTATTTTCAGTAGAGACAAGGTTTCACCACGTTGGTCAGGGTGGTCTCGAACTCCTGACCTCAGGTAATCCACCCGCCTCGGCCTCCCAAAGTGCTGGGATTACAGGCATGCGCCACCACGCTGACCTGTCATTCTTTAACCCTTGCCTTCCCTTTAAAACCTAACAATATCTCAAGAACAAAAGCATTTGCTGGGCGCGGTGGCTCACGTCTGTAATCCCAGCACTTTGGGAGGCCGAGGCGGGTGGATTACCTGAGGCCAGGAGTTCGAGACCAGCCTGGCCAACGTGGTGAAACCCTGTCTCTACTGAAAATACAAAAATTAGCCGGGCGTGGTGGCGCGTGCCTGTAGTCCCAGCTACTCGGGAGGCTGAGGCAGGAGAATCGCTTGAGCGGAGATCGCGCCACTACACTCCAGCCTGGGCGAAAAAGCAAAACTCTCCGCTGTTTAAAAAAAAAAAAGAGAGAGAGAGAGAGAGAGAGACGGAGACAGAAAGAGAGAAGGCACTGCAAACAGCTGGGAATGACAGGGCCTGAGATGAGAGATCGCAAGCTGCTGGCGAGAAAGGCGCTCAGAGGCCGCCCAGCCTGTGGACTCCCTCAGCGCAGAAAGCACATGGCTCGTTCCCCCGCTCAACAACTGAGCGCTGAAAACTAATGGATCTCAGTGGCTGAAAAGACACAAGTGACGGCACCTGACGCAAAAACAAATGTCGGCCGTTTGCTGAAGGACGAGGGGGTCCTTTAACAGGCGGTCCACACGGCCCCTCCCAGCGCGGAGACGCAGCCCCTCGGGGCCACCCCGGCCGCGAACCAGCAGCAGGGACACCTGGTCGCGTCCCCCTGGGCGAGGCTGCCTGACGTATGAAGCGACCCCAGAGGCACCTCACACGACTCACGAGGGTCGCGGGCGGCCTCTCCACAGCCCTAAAGCTCCCACACGCGGACACCGCAAGCTTGGGCCACGTTCCGCAGACTGACCTTCCTAGCTGGAGCCCCTCGCGCATCGCCAGCCCCTCAGCGGCGACTAGCGCGCGAACAGCCTAAGAGACGCGCTGCCGGCCCCGCTGGAGCCGAGCGCCCAAGTAGCTGCGGTGACAGCCGACGCCGCTATTAAGGTCGGCACACGCGCATGCGCGAGACGGGCGCGCTCCGCCCCACGCCGGTTTCCAGGGAGATGGGCGCATGCGCAGCGTGACGGGCCTGGCTGGCGGAAGGAGGTGCTACGGCGGTGGCTCCGGCGCGCTTGCGCAATAGCTGAACGCGGGCGTTTCTTTCCACCCTTTTTTTCGAATTGCTTTTGGGGGTAGATTCGAGTTACAAAATGGCCGCCCGGAGCGTGTTCCGCGGCGTTCCCCCAGCGGTCTCGGGCTGAGCCGGCGCTGTCGCCTCCCTGCCGAACACAGCGTGAGGGCCCCCCCCCCGGGGACATGGTGTTTGAGTCTCAGGGCTTGTGGAGCACCAAGTCCTCTGAGACCCGCAGTGCAGCACCGGAAGCAGCCGAGCGCGCACAGCCCGGCTACCACCAGCCGCTTCAAAACCCAGCGCCGCCGCTCCCCGGGTTTCGCCGCGCCCAAGACCCAGGTAGTGCTGCGGCTGCCGCCGGGCAGGTGAGAAGGCGGCTGGCGCGGGACGGGAAGGGGCTGAGAGCGGGAGCCTGGTGCTGAGAGCCTAGGGCCGGGAGGATGGGAGCGGGCTCGGGCCTGTGGCGGGGAGTGCGAGTGCGGGGCTGGGGACTGGACGCTGGGGGAGGGGACTCTCGGGAGGGGAGCGCCGGTCCAGGACTGGGGCACCGGAACCTGAGGAGGGGGATGTGGGTTCAAAGCTGGGGGTGGGACCCTGGGGAGAGATACGGAGCCGGGGAACGGGACCTCTTGGAGGGGTGTGTGGGTTCAGGGCCGGGATCCTAGGGAGGAGGGTGCGGGGCCGGGGGACCGGACCCCGGGAGGGGCTTGCGGGGCTGGAGAATGGGATCCTGGGGAGGGAGCGGGGTGCAGGGCTAGGGGCGGGAGCCGTGGGTCGGGCGCGCGGGTGGGCGGCGGCGGGTGGAGGGTGGGGTGGGATGACAGCGGCGCGCAGCCCGGGCTGTCTGTGAAACGGGGCTCGGGCCTCCCCGGGCTCAGGCGTCGGACTCGAGTGAGGCTCGCCCTTGCGGCCCCGGCGGAGGTAAGGGGCTGGCAGGGCTGTCCCGGCTTGGTCGTCTCCGTTTCCTTCCTTGCGATTCCTCTCGATTCTTCTCCTTGGCCGCCCCTCGTCTCTCTTCTCCTGGCCCCATTACCTCTCTGGCCTGGCTTCACTTTCTTACTGCGTTCCCGGGTCATCGATCACCCCTTTGCTCAATTTCATTAAGAAACAGTTTGGAGATTTGGTATTTCTGTCTGCTTAGTTGGTCCCCTTGTTCTCTCCGTCCAACAAGGCACCTCGCTATTAAGTGTAGCCAAATCTGTGTTTTCGTTTTAAGCTGATGTTGACAAGTTCAGCTCCAAGGGCAGAGCAGCACCGGATGCCAGAGACCACATAACTATATCAGGCACAAACGTTTTTTCCAGTTTGCCTAGTCTCCTACCACGTTGCTTGATGCCTAGCAATCATGTCAGATTTGGTGTGTGTGTGTTTTTACCCACAAGCACAAACGTTTTTTAAATTTCCTTTTATTGGTTGGTTGAGATTCGGGTCACCATGCCGGAGTGTAGTGGTGGCTCACTGTAGCCTCAAACTCCTGGGCTCAGGTGCTTCTCCTGCCTCAGTCTTCCAAGTAGCTGGGACCACAGATGTGCGCCACTTTGCCCGGCTAAGTTTTTATTTGTATTTATTCATCTAATCTATGTCTCTTTATTTTTGTAGAGACCAAGTAAGCTTCCAACTCCTGGCTTTCAGTCATCCTTCTGCCTCTCTTAAATTTTTTATAATAGGAGCTAGAGGTAAGACTCTCCAGGTGACAACCTTGTTCTGAGTAGTTTACAGAGTGTTTTTTTTTTCTTTTCCACTTCTACCATAAAAGGAAAATGTATTGTCCGATGTGTCATGCTTTGACATAAAATAGGGATTTGGTAAAATGTTTTTAAAAGTCTGGTTTGTAATCCAAGTTATTCTTCCATGCTGCAGTGCTACGACTTTGAAGTTTTGGAGGGAAGATGGTAGTTAATTGCCTTTGCTTCTAATTAAACTTGTTTTTTTAAATAATTCATTAAGCCCTTCCTCTGCTCCAGGCACTGTTTTTTGTTGTTGTTGTTGTTTTTTTAGACGAGTCTCACTCTGTCGCCTAGGGCTGGAGTGCAGTGGCACAATCTTGGCTCACTGCAACCTCCACCTCCCAGGTTCAAGCGATTCTCCTGCCTCAGCCTCCTGAGTAACT